CAGTACATTTCACTTTGCATCAGCCTATGCAAGTCTTTCCGGGTTTTTCTGAGAGCATCCTGCTCATCATTTCTTATAGTATAATATTCCATTGGCATTATCTTTTAAGAATAGTTTAATAGTTTAGACCTTGAACTAATTGAGGCTTTTGAAATATGCTAGGGTTAAAAATCCCAACTTTGTACCTATGACATTAGCCAAGTCACTTAACCTCCTTGGGGCTCAGTTTCCTGTTTTGTAAAATGAAGGGATTTGATAAGGTATTTAAAGGCTCTTCCACTTCTGCACTCTGTGATACTTTATTTAAAGATTATAAGCATATATCTCATCTCAGTTTTCTCGGATCCAAAGTAAGGATAGTCAATTCATGTAGTTCTCCTCTGCATGGTTTTCATGACCACCTTGGTTGTCTTCTTCTGGATGAGTTCTAGTTTGTCAATGTTCATTCTAAAATTTACATCCAGAATTAAACACAGTATTCTAGATGTGATCTGATTTTGGCTGTATCTGACCACATCATTCCACAATTTACTTTTGAACTCCTGAGGCAACTCAGTATTATTTCCATTAAGAAATTAAGATTTACTGATTGCTTTAGTAAATGCAATGGAGTGGAATTAGAGCACTAGGATTGGTGCCTTGTAGTACTAAGTAGCTCTTTGGGTTCCTGGTGATGGCAGTGGTATCTCCAGAGTAACATTTTTGTCCCAGGCTAATGATTACTTTGTTTCTTTGACTGTTTTAGAGGATAAATAGAAACATGGTCTCATCTTACTAGTTGTGTTATCTTGGGCAAATCAATTAACCTCTATTGGCTTCAGTTTGTTGTTCAGCCGTGTCCAAATCTTCATGAGCCCACGGGCCGTAGCATGCCAGGCCCTTCTGTCCTGTACTGTCAGTCTGTCCAAGTTCATGCTTGTTATTTCTATATACTATCTGTCCATCTCATCCCCTTCTGTCCCCTTTTCCTTTTGCCTTCAGTCTTTCCCAACATCAGGGTCTTTTCCAATGAGTTCTGTCTTTGCATTATGTGGCCAAAGTATTGTGGTGCTGAAGAAGACTCCTGAAAATCTCTTGGACAGTGAAGAGATAAAATCAGTTCATACCCAAAGAAATTAATTCAGGATATTCACTGGAAGGTCAGATACTGAAGCTGAAGCTTACACTCTTTGACCAAAAACTTTAGCCTCAGTTTCCCCAACTGTGAAATTGGAATAATAATAGCATCTGACTCACAGGGTTATTGGTGAGGATAAAATGAAGTAACATATAAAGCACTGAGCAAACTGTAAAGTGGCATATAAATGATAGCTATTGTTAATAATTATCTGCCATCATTCTCTGTAGTATTATCCAAGTATGTTTGTATTCTAAGTCAGCATTGCCTGTGTCTGTCTTTTATCTCTGCTTGGCAAGGAGAATTAAGTGCTTTTTGGCAAGGTTGGTTTCTGGGTGCTTTGAACTTCCTTATTGGGATGACTACTTTACATCAGTTAAACTTTTGTGGGAAATGGTGATAATCAAGGTCAATATCTTTGTGTTTTTTCTACTTAACATTTTAAAGCATTTAATAGCTTTTATGAACTGGTCAGATTGATGTTGCAGTGGTCCAGTTTGTTTACTTGTTTCGGAGGATCTTGTCAAGTTTTCAACTAGCACAATATAAACTCTTTGAATACAAAGATACTTGCATTTTTACTTTGGTACCCCTAGCACTTAGCTTAATGCCTGGCACATAGGTGTTTAATAAATCAATTGAAAATTCTTCTTAGATTCTGCCTTGTCATTTTCTGTTATACATGTTTGTGCATAAGCTAAAGTTATACTCCTTTTTTGTTTGCTAATCGCAAGTGGAGACGAGATGAGATGACCAAGGGTACTTCGAGCTATAATAACTTACTGCCTTTAGGAACATGATGAAATCCACTCCTCCATTTGTTTGCCTAAGAAGAATCTGTGATCCCTCCTTCTATGAAAAAGCATTTTTTTTTGTTTTCCATTTTTCTTTCATTTATCATGAAGATGTCACTAAAAGTGCAATTCAGTTCTCCTAAGAGTATCTTACTTCACTGGTCATTGTGACATTTGTGTTACATTTAGAGGACCAACAATTAATGTTTATACATAGCATACACATATATGCACTGTGCAGTACTTAGCACCCTTTTTTTAGCCACCTTTTTTCTATTCCCTCTCAAACCCTTCCCCCATCTCCAGCCACCAAGGAAGCAAGCTGCTAAACGGATCCAAGCAAGGCAGAAATAGTCCCTGCCCTCAAGGGACTTGTATTTTAAGCTTAAGCTTTGTTTCATTTATATCTGGTCCTTCCCTGAATCTTCTCTCCGCCTTAGACTTCTTTTTCCCTTCTTCATGTTCCTATCTTTATCATTGTTGAGTTGAATGTATTCCTATGTGAAACTTTTTGTGTACGCATGTGGGTGTTTTGCCCTCATTTGACCAGGAGACAACAGGCAAACAATTGTGTAGGTATAAGAGTGTGTGTGTGTGTGTGTGTGTGTGTGTATACATCTATAGATAGATAGAGATATACACACATTAATCTACGTATCTCTATCTCTGCCCATTTCTGTGTATCTGTCTGTCTATCTATCTATCTACTGTAAATCAGAAGTAATCTGAGAGTGAAGATGTTTTTAGTGAAGGAGGGTCCAGGGCAGCACTAGGAAAGGCCTCTACCAAAAGGTAAGATTTCAATTGACTTTTGAAGGAAACCAGGGAAGCAAGGAGGTGACAGTGAGGTGGGAGCACATCCAGTTATGGGGAGTAGCCAGCAAAAAGACATGAAATAGGGAGATGGAATATTATATGTGAGAAACAGTAAGAAATTCAGTTTTCTGACAAGATAAAGCATTAAATTTATCTGCAGAAACATTCCCCCCTCCAAAACTAAACTCAAAAAGAGGATAAAGAGAAATATACTGTTTTTCCTTATATATGTATATACATTTCCTTATATATATGTAGTAGGTCCTTTCCCATTGATCATGTGTGGGGATAAGCTTGGGCTTTGGCCCCTTCTGATGGACTATGTTTGCCCTGGATCCTTTCTAAAGCTCCTGCACACCCAGAGCCTCCTGGTTGGTCTCTTAGTTCCTGTGACAGTTGGATGAACCAGCAAGAGCAGTTCCCTTTGTGGCCTGTAAGGATGGTGCAGATATAACTTTCTGTCTCATTTTTCCGAATCTGCATCTCTGATGTTATATAGCCCACACGAGCTATCCCTTAGACTTTTTTGATAGGTTAATCTGGTAGTGTGTGTTGCTGAGGAGTGTAGAGTTGCCTTATTGGTATACCTTTCTGCTTCTTTCTCACTGCTAAATTATGTGGTGCTGAATTCTGGCCAGCCTTGCCTGTCTCCTCCCAGAGAGGAAGTGTAGAGTGGGTTCATTTCTTTAGCCATCACCCTTTCCTCCTTATCTCTTTCTTTCTGGAGATTTGGTCAGCCACACACTGTTACATCAGTTAGGCTGATTTTACCCTATTTTATGGAGTTTATCATGAAAAATTAGTAATACAATCACTATAGCTGAGAACCCCCAGTAAGGAAAATTCCTAACATTTATATGAGGCTTGCCTTTTTGCCCTAATTAAATATATATAATATGTATGTATATATATATGTGTATATATATATATGTATATATATATATTTTGTATTTCCAGCTAACCCTTGACTTTTATGTATTTAAGGCAAGATCAGGATAAAGGAAGCATCTAGGTAAAAGAAGTGAGCTGAGTATATTATAATGTTTGTTACTGGATAGGTATGGGAAGGGAAAGTTAAGGAAAGACAAGACCTTTTTTGGGGGAACTTCCTTCAGTCTTTGAAAAGTTGTGTAAAACTAGTAACTTCAGCCCTAATCCCTCATTTCTCAAACAGAGACCCTTCATCTCCTAATTCTGGGCATTTTTTTTTTTGATGAGTCAGTTGGGGTTAAGTGATTTGCCTAGGGTCACACAGCCAGTAAGCATCAAATGTCTGATCTGAGGCTGGATTTGAACTCAGGTCCTCCTCACTCCAGGCCCAGTGCTCTATCCACTGCGCCACCTAGCTGCCCCAGATTCTCGGCATTTTCACTGATTGACTTCTGCGCATGGCAGGCCCTTCCTCCTCATCTCCGCCTCCTGGCATCCTTCATATGTCCCAGCTACAATTCTACCTCCTATAGGAAGGCTTCCTGATCCTTCTTAATTCTAGTGCCTTCCCTCCATTGATTATTTCTAATTTATCCTATATATAGTTTGTCTGTACACAGTGATTTATTTCTCCCATTAGATTGTGATCTTCTTGAGTATTAGGACTATCTTTTATCTTTCTTCGTATCCCTAAGGCATGGCCTAATGCCTGACACATAGTAGGCATTGATCTGTAATGACTGATCTGTAATGCAGGAGAGGCATGATGGCCCACCTTGATCTCTCCTCTGTTGCAGCTTCTCCTTCCTTTTGTTTTTTTCTGTTGGTTGGTCCCTCTGTGTTGCCAAATGCTTTTCATTTTGTTTCCTTAAAATCCAGATGGGGTTAGGGACACTGCATCTCCACTCCTTTCTCTGTTTTCCCTTTCATAGACTGTGCTGCTTTTTAAAAACTCCTGGCTAGGATTCAAAGATTGATATAATTCACATCACTGTTAGGGTTGGGAGGGAATACTTGTCCTTCTGAACTTAAAAACATCAGCATGGAAGGTCTGGTAGTATTGGTAAAGAGAAGAGCAAACATTTCTCTTTTTAAAAAAATTGTAGTAAGCAGTAATACTAGAGTACAAAATTATATTCTACAGGAAGAAAGATTGAGCTAATGGAAATCTGCTTCTTTTGAAAGTCCTGGGAAAGTGCAGTCTTGGAATCCCAGTGCAAAAAGATATAAGAATTTTTCTTATCTGAAGAAGCATGAGGTATGGTAAAACAAGACTGACTAAGGAAACTATGCCAGTGCTTTTGTCTTTGTATTTAATTATTTTCCATTCTCTATTTTTTTAGATCATCAACAAACAATATGGAAGAAAACCAAGAGGAAAGCGAGACTTCTATAATAATAAGTAACCGCCAGCTCTTGGAAGAAGTGAAAAAAGAATTCAAGGATTCAACCAGACGTAACACAAAAGACTCTGAGAGGTCATGCAGAAAAAGCTTCAGGCTAGACTATAGGTTAGAGGAGGCTGTAACTAAATCACAGAAAGGAAAAGATGGAAGATACATCAACCCTTGGCCAACATGGAAATATCCAACTCTTTCAGAGGTTTTAAAATGGATGATACTGGAAAAAGATAACAGCAAAATTCCACGTTGTAAGGAGGTAGATGATTTTATTTCATGTCTTATGTTTACTTACAATAACTATAATATTGGGTTATAACACTGAATTACCATAGTTAAATGAGTCATCTCAGTGAGCTCTTAGAGAATAAGCTATAATCATGTTATTTAAAAAAAATTTTTAATTAATTAATTAATTAATTTTTGGTTTTCAACATTCACTTCCACAAGATTTTGAGTTCCAGATTTTCTCCCCATCTCTCCCCTGCCCCACCCCAAGATGGCATGCATTCTGAATACCCCTTCCCCTAATCTGCCCTTCCTTCTATCACCTCCCTTCTCTTATCCCCCTCCCCTTCTATTTTCCTGTAGGGCAGGATAGATTTCTATACCCTATTGCCTGTAAATCTTATTTCCCAGTTGCATGTAAAAACAATTTTTAACATTTTTTTTTAAAACTTTGGGTTCCAAATTCTTTCCCTTTCTCCCTCCCACCTACCCTCATTGAGAAGGTAAGCAACTTGATACAGGTTACACATGTGTGGTCATGCAAAACACTTCTATAACAGTCATGTTGTGGAAAACTAAATATATTTCCCTCCATCCTATCCTGCCCCCCGTTTATTCTCTTCACTCCTTTGACACTGTCCCTCCTCAAAAGTGTTTGCTTCTGATTACCCCCTCCCCCAATCTGCCCTCCTTTCTATCATCCCCCCCTTTATTCCCTTTCCCCCTATTTTCCTGTAAGATAAGATAGATTTCCATACCTAATTGAAGGTGTACGTTATTCCCTCCTTAAGCCGAATACTATGAGATTAAGATTCACTCATTCCCTCTCACCTTCCCTGTTTCCCCTCCACTGTAAAAGCCTTTTATTGTCTGTTTCATGTGAGATAATTTACCCCATTCTACCTCTCCCTTTCTCCTTCACTCAATATAATCCTTTCTCACCCTTTAATTTTATTTTTTAGATAGCATCCCTTCATATTGAACTCAAGACAGTATTGAGGTAGATTAAGATTAGATAAATAAGGTATAGGATTAAAGAGAATTTTATTCTATGGATAACATGGTACCGTGGAAATGGTTTGAGATTAGAAGTCAGGAGACATGGAATGTAGTCCTTGCACCTCTACTAATAAACTATTATTATGCAATCTTGGGAAAATCACTTAAAATTCTCTTTGATTCTTTTTGTTGCCATAAGGGGAAAATATATATAAAGCAAACTACAAATATAAACTGTTATAGTTTAGAATAGTATGTGTTGTTGTTGCTGCTGCTACTGCTGTTACTGCTTCATTTCAGTTGTGTCTGACTTTTTGTGACCCCATTTGGGCTTTTCTTGGCAAAGATATTACAGTGACTTGTCACTTCCTTTTGTAACTCATTTGAAGATGAGAAAACTGGGGCAAATAAGATTAAGTGATGTAAGTGACAGCTAGTAAGTGTCTGAGGCCAGATTTGAACTCAGGAAGATGAGTCTTTCTGACTCCAGGCCTGGTGTTCTATCCACTGAGCCACCTAGCTGTCCATGCAAAAACATGAATTATATACATTGCCCTTTACACTTACTTGTACTACTTCAGAAGCCATTTTATATTTAAATGTGATCTTAAAGATCATAGATATAAATTACAAGATCACAGGTTTAGAGCTGGAAGGGACTTTAAAAACCATCTAGTCTATCCCCTTCATTTTACAAGTTAGAAAACTGAGGCAGACCCAGGTTAAGTGACTTTCCCAGGATCACACAGGTAGTAAGTATCAGAAGTAGGATTTGAACCCAGGTTCTATGAGTCTCAAACCAGTACTCCTTCCACTGTTATATTTCCTAGAAAAGGTTCAGTACTTGTGGTAAAAATAAAGGGGGGGGGCAGAATAGCATTCATTATATGTTATTGTTTATTTTGCAAGTTCTCTGATAAATCTTGATGGAGATAGTTGTGGCAAGTCTTGAAATACAACACAGTAATTCAGCAGGACTGATTCTCTTGTTGACCAAGTTACATTGTGAATGACGAGATGTTTGGCATATGCTATTGGCTTTTATCCACCAGCCATCTGCTTCAGGGTGTCTTTAGTCTGTAACCATGCCTTCAGTATGGCTTTTTGCTTGAGGCTGATGAAATGTAATAGTGACAGTTTATTAGTTTTCAACCCACAAATTCCTCAAATCCAACCAAGGTAATTGCAGACCTATCATCAGAAGAAAAGTATTTGGCAATCTTCATGTTGCAAATAATTGGTACAGATTTTTATAGAAGAATTTAAAAGAAGTCTTTCCCCTCTTCCATTCTCATCGTTGATTGTACATAGTTTATCTTGTTCAGGATGAATATTAATAGCTTGATACTGTACCCCAATACTATGACACTGGAAGTTTTTATTTCAATTTTTTTTCTACTCCTCCCTGGTGTTTCAAAGTGATGTGGAATTTTCTGAGGTCTTTCTTCCAAGTTTATGACCTATTTACTCCAATACATAACAAACATTTAGTAAATGTCTATCATGTGCAAAGTTTTATATTAAATGCTGAAGGATACAAAGGTAATAAAAAGAGATATACACACAAACAGCTACAGTACAAGATGGGATATAATATATGCATAGGAGAGATAAAAAGTGCTATGAGATCCAAGGTAGGAAAAATACTTTCTGGTAGTGGGATCAGGGAAGGCATCATGAAAGATGAAGCATTTGAATTGGCATATATAGAATGGATCGGATTTCAATAGTAGAAGATGGGGCAGTGGGGAAAAGAGGGCATTCCAAAGATAAAGGATGGTAGGAATAAGTACATGAAGGTAGGTAAATCCAAGACCAGTTCAGGAATAATGAATTGTCCATTTTGGCAGTCACATGGAAAGGGGGGGCGGAATAGTGCAGAGTAAAGCTAGAAAAGTAGGTTGGACCTAGGTTGTAAAGGGGCCTTGAATACTAGTCTAAGGAATTTGTACTTTATTTGGTAAAGAGCAAAGGTTTTTGAAGAGGGGAGTGACATGATCAGAGTAGCACAGTAGGAAGATTAACATGGCAGTGATATGTAAGTTAGGTTGGAGTGGGGAGAAGGTAAAGAACTACTTAGGATACTCTAATAGGTGCAATATATACAAGATGTAATGGTGGCGTGATTGGGTGGTTGCATTGGGAATGAAAGAGAGGTTATATATTCAAGAGATATTATGTACAAGTAACAACAAAATCCTCATTTCTTAGGGCCTGATGTGTGAAAAGCACTGTGGCAGATGCTGGAAGAGATACACAAAGTTTAGACGAGGCACATTGGGAATAAGACATAAACTCACTTCAATTCAACAAGCATTTTGTTAAGCCTGTCCCTACACACAGAGATATGCAGTATTATGTAAGTGGAGTACAGAGTTGTGGAACAAAATGTCACATGAGGTCTGAGGGAAGATGATTAATTATCAGGTAAGATTTTAGAGGTGACGATTGAGTTGAGCTTTAGGAGATGAATAGGAATATAAGTGAAAAGAAGGAATGGGGCATTTTAGGAGTAGCGAACAGGCTGAGGAATTGCAGAAGAGGGGATATTTCAAGGCATTCTGGCTAGAGTGTAAAATTGTGGGGAGTAGCGATATGAAATAAAGCAGGGTAGCTCTAGATTATGTAGAACCTTGAATGGCAGGCAAGGCATTTGAATTTCACTTGATAAACACTGAATACTTTTTGATATAGAAGTGCCCTGGCTTAATCCATGTGAAGCAAAGATATTCTGTCAGTGGTGTGATAGATGGATTGGGGAAGGGGAAAAGAGTGAAGATAGGAGGCTTTTAAAATAGTTTTAGTACAGTTGAATAGTAATAAAATGCATGTCTTAGGGTGATTGCAATGTGAATAGAGAAGACTGATGCAAGGGATATTTTGGGTGGAATTGATAGGTTTTGGTAGCTGATTGGACAGTGAGAGGTGAGGGAGAGAGAGGAGTTGAATGCCAAGATTTCAAGCATAGGAAAACAGGACCCATGGTGTTATCAAAGATAGTAATATGAAGTCACATGGAAAGCAGGTTTAAGGGGGAAATATAGAAAGCTGCATCCTGCACATGTTGAGTTTGAGGTGCTGATGGACATCTGGGTAGAGTCATAAAGGCATTCTCCAATGAAGATGAATGGTCAAAGAATATGAATAAACAGATCTCAGAAAAAGAATTGCCACCTCTTAGCAACCCTAAGTAAGACTATTCCAAATCACCAATAAGAGAATTGCAAATAAAAACAACTCTGAAGTTTCTACTCACCCCCAGCAGATTGACAAAGATGACAAAAGATGAGAATAATCAAGCAAAAATGAACTGTTGGTGGAATTGTGAATTGGTCAAACCATTCTGGAATGCAGTTTGGAATTATGTGAAGAAAGTGATTAAAATGTCTATACCCATTGACCTAGAGATCACAAAGCTATGCATTAACCTTAAGGAGGTCAAAGTCAAAAAGAAAGGCTGTGTATACACACACACACACACACACACACACACATATACAGACACACAAATATTTATAGTGGCACTTTTTGTAGTAATGAAGAACTGGAAACAAATTTGATGTCCATAAATTAGGGAATGGCTAAACAAGTTGTCATACAGGAATATAATGGAATATCACTGTATCATAAGAAATGATGAATATAATGAATATAGAGAAGCATGGGAAGACTTACATGAGTTGAAGCAAAATGACATAAGCAGAACTAGGAAAATAGTATATATAGTTGCAAACATGTAAATGAAAATAATAAGACCTCAACACTAAAAGCTTCCACTGAACTCTGCCTTTATTAAATCTCATCTGGAGTACTGTGTCTAGTTCTGGGCACCTTGGTTTAAGAGGGACCTTGATAAGGTGGAGAGTGTCCAGAAAAACTCATCTACAATGGTGAAGGGCCTTGAACCTATGACATGAGGATTGGTTGAAGGACATGGTATGTTTAGCCTGGACAAAAGAAGATTGGGGGAGGGAGGACTTGTTAGCCGTTTTAAAGTATTTGAAGGGCTGTCATTGGAAGAGGGGATAGATT